GGAGGAGAGGAGGAGGAGGAGGAGGAGGAGGAGGAGAACAACAACAACAACAACAACAACAACAACAACAACAACAACAACAACCCTGGAAGTTATCTTCTACATGCATACCAATCTGGACTTTTTAAATGGCTGGGCACTGGCTGTTTATTGGACAGGGATTCAAGACCTTAAGAATATTAACATCCTATTCATTTAATCTTCATCAAGTACCGCCTCTTCCAGAATTAATGGAAAGCATACCTGGACACAAAATATTATTTCACTTTCACCTGCTTTTCAGAATGGCATCCTTTACTTTTAAGAAAACAAAAAAGGTATTTCATTTTTACAGAAAATAATATATACATCTCTATACTTTAAACACAATGAATGATTTTCAAGGAACAAAAGCTATATACTTGCACAACAAACTTTACTTTTTCAAACTATAAAATCATTGTGAGCTTTCATCACTATTCCAAATGTTCTTAAATAAAATAAATACTGATATAAAAGTATAAAACTAATAATTTACACTACAAAGACAGATTTGTACATTGCTTTAATCAATATCATTCCTTATCCTAAAGCTTTAAATGAACTTGTGAGTATCTTTATATACATTATAAAAAAGTTTCCATATCTTTTATTCCTGAATAATGTCCTCTCCATAGGGGTCACTGTCACTATTTGCCTCGTCAATCTCACCATATCTTTCCCTTTCATCCTCACCCATTAACTCATCCTCACTCTCTTCAGTTGAGGGAGACCCATCATGAGTCACTTCCATGCTGGGCATTGAACCTTCCTCCACAGTTCTCCTCCTGTCTTGTGAGGGGTCATAGGGCACGTGGATAGTCCCTTCAGTGCCCACAAGAGCTAATTTGTAATTGTGACGGTCGGGGTGGTCAAGTGGCAGGCGCGCCATCTTGAGCCGCAGCTTGTAGTCATTGTGGGTGACAGACCAGCACTCAGGTAAGTGTTCTGGTTTCATGGAGGACAGGAAGTGCTGTCGCCATCTCTGCTCCAACTTAACAAGTCCTACCTTGCTGTAGACTTCAAAGACCTTGTGACCATGTGCCTGATACTCCTTGTTGTAAACTTTGACCTCCATGTTGGCTGCCTCTTCCAGTAGCTCCCTCGTGAGCTCCTCCACACCATAATGCCTTCGGACAACACCTTGCAGCTCAGCAATCCTCTTCTCAGGGATGCCAGCAGGTTTCCTGAGCAGGGCACTAGCTGCGTAGCGCACTGCCTTCTTGGCCTTGTCAAACGTCGCCTTGACATCTTTGTCAGTGCCAATGGGTGCATCACATTCTTCTGCTAGCTGGCTCCGCAGAGCATTGTCTCGGATGTTGCTTATGCGGTGGCACTCTAAGCAGAGCAACACCACATCATGGTTCTGGTGGTGCTTTAGGATGGCTGGGAAGTACTTGCGGTACTCATGAGGCACAACATTCTTCCTGATGTATGACTGGTCCTTGCCACACACTACACACAAGTTTTGGCGCTCCTGCAAGTAGAACTGGCCATCTTGAAGTTCAGTCTGAGGGCGACCAGCGGGCTCAAAATTAAGGCGCACAACCAAGGGCTCTTCGCTTACCAGTACACCCAGCCCTTTTGCCACATACCAGTGTGCCTTCTTCGGGTCAATAGTACATAATGGCTGGTCATCTGGGGCCCGCAACTGACAGTTGTGGTAGAGGGGGCCCTGGCGGAGGGAGTAGGCACGCGTATGTGGTTTGAACTTATTGGGGGGTATTTGACCACCTCTGGAACTGCCTGGGAGGAGGAAAGGGGTAAGTAACAACTCTGACAAGAACAGTAGCAATAACTGTGATAATTCTAACTATAAGGAGAAATGAAAATGTAATACCTATGATGATGATGATGTGATAATGATGACAATAATGAATGATGATAATATATTGATGATATTCCCATAATGATGATGATGATAACAATTAGTGGTATACTTCCGTGATAATAACCATAATGATAAAGATTTTAATAATAAAAATTGTAATAATTAATTATCATCATCATAATAATAATATAAACATTAATGATGATGATGATGAAAATCAAAATAATAATAAAATTATTATTATTATTATTATTATTATTATTATAATAACAATAATGAAAAAAATAGCAGTAAGAAAAAAAGGTTGATTTTGATGATAATAATGATACTACTATTATTCTATCTTATTCATAATGATCATAAGAATAATATATAACTTAAATGCCAATGACAACAATAATGACAAGAACTTAAACACCAATGACAAAATAACAATAACTGAAGTATTGATAATGATAAGGATAATGAAAAGGATAACACTAATGATAGCGATGATAATAAAAACACTGAGAAAGTAAACTATTATGGCATTAAATCAGAAACCCAATAGTACCTGCATCTTGATTCCTTTTATTAGAAGTGAATTTGACATCGAGGAGTCCACTGCAGGCCTGGTGCACTTCCTGCCTGAGTCTCTGTTGCCATGCAGAC